AATGGACTTGATTTTTCGTATGTCTCGAAGTCTGTGGACCTTTTTGTATGCCTCGATAACATATTGGTGCAGATTATTTTCACCCAAACTATACATTGATGCTGATTGTCTATGAACTCTTTCTGAAGGTCACAGAAACCTGAACGCGTAATTCGGTGTTCTTTCGCATCTGTTATAGGTAATTTGTGCTTAAACGATAATGTTTAGTGAAAGTACTTTTTTATTTATAAACATTTATTTAATTCTGTTTTTAGTATTTGTTGTTATAGCGGCAACATAGATACATTATCTGTAAAAAAACTGTCTAGCTGTAACGGTTTATAAGATAGACAGACTTGTGACAGACGGACGGACAGACAGCGAAGTCTTATTAATAGGGTTTCCGTTTTTACCCTGTGGGTACGGAACCCTAAAAAGTATTTTTTTGGTTTCTGCTCCAACAGTGATGAATGTTTTTCAGATCTTTCTCAAAGTATTTTTTATCTAAGACATATTTTATAGAATGTTTTATAAAAAAATATATGTATTTTTTTTATATAGAAACAATATCAAAATTCAAGCTATAAAACGTATTATTCTGTTCGTAGAACTCGCAGATTCAAAGGTTAACGTTCCCTTATTCTAATATCTATTTATATAACAAGCACATCTTTATATACTGCGTGACATCGCCCTCTAAAGGACTTATTTTATGCGAATATAAAGAAGGGATAAAGCTACATTTAATTGGATTCATCTCGAAAAATCAGACGACAGACTAGACAGATTCTTTCTTTAAAAAGAGCTTAATTTTATCTGATAAATATTGGACTCTTATATTTTCAACAAGATTTTGAACTATTGTAAAATGTAGGTACACAACCATGAAGTTTTTTAAAATCTATTTTAAATCATCATAAAATATTTTAATAATTGTACAGAAATTGTGGATTATAAAAATTGTAAGGAAATTTAGGATAATCCAGAAATACTTTTATGTATATGTGATGTTTTTTTTCAAATCTAGCTTCTATTTCTATACAGGATGAGCCTTCAATAAGTGCAAATATTTTCAGGGTTGGTAGATCTCGATAAAAGAAACATATTTTCTCTTTACCGTTTTTCAAATAAGTCCAAAATAACTGAGATATTTTACTTTGAAAATAAAAAAAAAATAATATTTTGCTTAAATTTTGCTTAATTTTTTTTTGCTTAAATTTACTCGATCTTTTCTGGGTTTTCTTTCTTGTAAATTTAATCTACTACCTACGTTGCCATATTATGCATATATTAGGATTTTTAACTACAAAAAAAAATCCAAATTTTCAATTCTATAAAAAGTAAAAATCTGTAATAAAAAAGTTTTTCCTCTTGTAAAGACAATCCGGGGACATACTGTAGGTATGATGGGGACCACAATAGATTTGTGAAATTTGCAGTGAAATAGACCAATCGTCACAGAATTATGAAACTACCAGTAGTATTCTTAATTAATACACACATTAATTCTTATTAATACACAAAGCAAGGCATTAAATTATATTTAATTTTTTTTATACATACAATGAAAATAAATTACATTTTTCTACAAACGTCAAAAATTGACAAGCTTCGCGACTTGATAACAATGTGCGAAGTGACACTTTTTTCATTTTTCTACGTTACCATGACACGGTGCGAAATAATGCGCAAAATGCCTATTTTGCACACTGCATGTAAATTATATGGGATTTTGGAATTTTGATTTTTGGAAAATGAAATATTCAAGATTAAACAAATAACAAATATCAAACTTAACACTAATGCATATTCTAGTTATTATTTACAATATTAACATTAATAGTTCAACCAGTACACGAACCCATATTTAATCCCAAACTAGATAGTTCTGATTTTGCTTGAGATATGGGAGTTTTGGAACTTGGGGTACTTGATCCCGGTATTTGACACTCTAAAATTTTATTTGATATTTGAATTTTATTGTTGATATATCCTCGACGTATCCCTCGGCCACTGTCGAAGATTTGTTTGATACGTCTATGTCTTCTTGTAAGCCTATAGAATGTGGTGTCCCTCAGGGTTCAGTACTTGGCCCTATTTTGTTTCTGGTGTTTATCAACGACATTGCAAATCTGGACATTAGCGGTAAAATCTGCCTCTTTGCGGACGATACTAGTTTCACTTGGAGCGGCCCAGATGTTGCGGCGCTATATGATACTATATCCAATGACTTACGCACCATTAAGTCTTAGTGCGATTCTAATCTCCTATGCCTCAACCTATCAAAAACTAAAGTTTTGTCATATAAAAGTACTATACAACCTTTTGTACTTAATAACACTACTATTGACGTCGTGGACTCTGTGAAATTCTTAGGACTTCTTGTAGACAACTCGTTAAAATGGGACTCTCACATTGAAACTCTATCAAAGAAACTAAGCGCTGCCTGTTTTGCGCTAAGATCAGTTTCTAAGGAACTTAACTTCTCAACCTCTAGAATAGCCTAGTATGCCCTTTTTGAGTCACATCTTCGTTATGCCCTTCCATTCTGGGGTACTTGCTGCGCAACAAAATTTGTGTTTTCATACTTCAAAAGAGAGCAGTTCAATATTTATTGGGACTGAACAGTAGAACTCACTGCCAGAATTTCTTTAAAAATTTGAAAATAATCCGCAAGCACATATCTGCTATTCCCGAAAGGCCATCTCATAACTATCCACTTAGGAATGCAGAGCACGATCTTTATCTGCCAACCCCGAGCTCAGAACTAGTTAAGGGTTCAATACTGTACAGTGCCAAAAAAATGTACAATCATCTGCCTTTGCATATCAAATCGCTTTCATTCTTTCCCGCATTTCGCAAGGCTCTAAAATCATACCTACTGGAGAGAGCCCTATACGCGGTAAACGACTTTTTTTGTTGATGTTTGATTATGAACAATTTTGAATTTTAAAATTTTGATCATCTCACACACTGGTCAAAGGTCAAGTATTTAATATTCTATAACTTTAAAATTATATCTATTTACTGCGTACTGTTCTAAAATTGTCCATGTATATTCTTTTTGTAATTTTAAAGACTTAAATTTTTTTGAATTGTATTATTTGTATTGTGTATTTTTTGTTGTTTGTATTTTTTTGTGATTTTGTTGTTTGTGAGTGCTTTGTCGATGAAGCTGTTTTGGCTGTTTGCACAATAAAGCGTTGTTTGTTTGCTTGTTTTGTTTGTTTGATTTCCATCCTCCGTGGCGCTTCAAACTAAATATATCAACCTCTGCATTAGCAAGGAGTGTGGCTGAAGTTCTCCGGAAACAATGCCCAGTGTAGGCCTCATACACTGGCAGCTTCAAGTGTTTTGCTATCATGCTAGACATCTTACCAATAGAGTTTATGCCGACCACTTGGTTAACACATCTTTTATTTTGATATTTTAAAAACGATCTGCGACTGGTATCATTTCTTGGACGAAGAGCTACGTATTTTCGGTCAATCTCAATATAATTCAAATTTGACACTGTAAAGACTCGGTCTATGTTTGTTTTTGTATCGGGTACTTTAACAATCAAAATTGAATCTTTATCTTCTATGTTATCGACCGTCATTTTAGTAAGTTCATCACGGCCGCGGCAAGCACCAGAAATACCAAATATTAAAACGACCCAAAAAGGAAATCGATGACGATGTTCAGTAATAAAAAACATACATTCGAAGCAATCGAGACCAGTGAAGATGAGTGTATACAAGACAGTATTCATACCGACGTTGATTTTTGGCTGTGAAAGTTGGGTATTAACTAAAAGATTGAAGAGTAAGATCCAAAGAATGGAGATGTTATATCTACGAAGAGTACTTGGGGTAACAAGGAAAGATAGACTAAGGAACAGTATAAGAGAGGAACTAAAAGTAGATTCGATCCTGAATAAAATTGAGCAAGGTCAGCTTAGGTGCTAGGGATATTTGATCAGAATGAACAACGACATACCAATAAAAGGCGTGTGGGAAGCTAAAATGCAGGAACAGAGACCAAGGGGAAGATGAACTAAAACATGGAAAGACACAATAGAAAAGATAGTGCAGGATAGAGGACTAACATTAACAGAAGCCAAAAGTTTAGCAAGAGACAAAAATAAATGGAAACAATTTGTGTAGAGTGTAGCAATTAAATGAATTTATTTAATTTAGTATACCTTACACCTTCGGGTAGAAAGGTTTTTGATTATATATATACATTTGAAGCAATAATAATAATTTTTAGGGATATCCCGATTTTAATGTTTGTAGAAAAAATGTTGCTTGCAACTCGTGCGCGAATTACTTTGGTGATCTCGACTAATTTTTCAACTAGGCTACGCCTCGTTAAAAAAATCAAGTATCGATCACCAAAGTAGCACTTCGCGCACTAGATACAAAAATAACTATAGTTATTATTAAATAAAATTATATAAGGATTCTTGCCACTTAACTGCTTATATAGAAATTGAATTCTACGCTGTGTTTGTCATAATGTGGATCAACCTGCTCTCACTACCGGTTTCGGAGCCCTACTCCATCATCAGGTGAGCTTGGGCAGATCCACAAAATGACAACCACAGCGCAGAGATAGTTAATTCCGACTTGTCGAAAAGTGTCGGTTAGATATTAAGTCCCGAACGGGAGATAGCGGCCTGCGTGCAATGGTAGTACTTTCGTACCACCGGGGCGCAACTATCGATAGTAAAAGGATGTCTAACCGACACTTTCCGACAAGTCGGAATTAACTCTCTCTGCGCTGTGGTTGTCATTTTGTAGATCTGCCCAAGCTCACCTGATGATGGAGTAGGGCTCCGAAACCGGTAGGTTGATCTGGTTGATCCACATTATGACAAACACAGCGTAGAATTAAATTTATATATAAGCAGTTAAGTCGCAAGAATCCTTATATAATTTTATTATATACCTATACTGCAAGAAATTTGTTTTCTATTTTGTTATTATTAAAAACATACACTAGATATTGTAGATACAAATAATTGGGGTATTTACCTGAACAAGCTCTGAGCCCTCAACGGACTAGGCAAAGCCACCAAATTAGGATGCAAAGGAACGGTTTGCAGGATCTGCCACAATTCCAGACTTCTCAGCGCCGTAGCTGAGACGGGGTCAGCTAAGATAGTGAACGTGTGCCAGTGAGCCTGAAGTAACAACCCTCTAAGGGCTTGGACAAATTCCCTAGCCGTCGGTGCGAGATGTACTTCTAAAGGGTTGTTTTCCTGTAACATAAAAAAAGGATCTTTAATTTAAATACTGAGAGATTTATAATGGCTGAAATTAGTCAATTATGCAACAACACGCCACAAAACATTTTTAATATAGCAGCTTCATGTTTAATACGAAATATCTAGTAACCTCTAAAATTTTTAAAAAATCCGAAAGGCGCATAATTTTTATTTCATAAAACTGCAATTCTTTGTCGTGTCAAAAATAAAAATTGAATTATAATAATAATATATATTTTTTTAATAAATCCGAATATTTCAGTGTCATGTACAAGGTATATCAGTATGAATGTACAAGGCGAGTCAACAATAGAGTAAAGTTTATTATGTAATTTATATCGAAACCATGAAATATGACATACTAATTAAACGTTAATGATGTCAATCCCCATTTCTTCAGATATTTTTGTAAAGGCATTATGCACACTATTTCTATTTTTTTATTTTTATCGCTACGATTACATAAATATGGACATGCATTTTTTCACAAATATGAAGACAATATTGTTTTTTTCTTCCATTTTTTAGACTATTGTGTGTGAATTATTTTTATATCGACTGGCGATTGCCAGATGTACAGGATGTCCCATTTTTGTGTGTTTTATGGGGTTTCTGGTTTATGAGTAGAGATATAAAGATGCTGTTTTCACATCATTGTTCTACTTATTATGAAACTAAATATGCTACACATATATTTATCCTAGCCTTCTTAGTTCAAAGTTATTTCTTATTTCTTTCTTTTACTTTTATTTTTTAATTAGTAGAAATTTTTGCATTTTTCGATAACCTTTGTATCTCGATTATCTTATAACTTATCGAAAAGGTGAAAAGGGTCAGTGATGGGCGGTGGGTAAGTACCCAATTTGTAGAAGAAATATTGTAGATATACTCGTATTTCTGATATTACTGGTATTATACCGGGTATTTATTATGCGGTCGTTGGAAATACCTTTTATAAAATTAGACTGTTCATCTAAATGTACAGGTATATACCGGACACCCTGATTTTGTTTTTTTTGATCTACCTATTGAGTACTTACCCACCGCCCGTGTCTCGTTTTTCAGGTAGAATGGCAGTGACGAAAGTGGTTCTTCGTTGGGAGCTGTCTATTTCGAAAAATGACTCAAACTTATCTTCTTTTTTTTAAACAGGACACTCTATATATTATTTTTTATTTTATTTGCCTTGTTATGAGCTTTCGAAAATTATAATATACTCTATATTTGTTTATTTAGGTACTGCTAAACTGCTAAACGGCTCTTATTTTATTTAACTTAATTTTACCAGATAATTTTGCTTTGCATCGTGATATTTTGATAAACTACACGGAAACTGAACTTGTGCTGCTTTTAAATAACATGCCAATAACCAACATTTTACGTCGAATTAATTAGTTGATTGTTTTGATTACCTAATTTAAACCGGCCGACTATGTAATAAAGTTAAATAATGCATTTTTACCCCGTTTATGAAAATAAGTATTTTAGAAAGCTCGTAACAAGGAAAATAAAATAATATACAAAATATCCTATTTAAAAAAACATATAAGTTTTAGTCTCGGTTTTAGTCAATTTAAAAAAGACAGATTCCAACGAAGAAATAGTTACGTCACTGCATTCTACGTGAAAAACTGTACGGGAGACCGTTTTCACATTTTCGCTAAGTTATGATACAAAGGGCATCGAAAAATGCAATAATTTCAGATTCGCCCTGTATTTTAGGAAGTAAGAGAGCTAGGACATATCTGTATGTAGCATCTTTAGTTTCATAAAATAGTAACAGCGTAATGTGAAAACCGCATCTTTGTATCTCGACTCATAAACGAGAAACCCTGCAAAACACACGAAAATGGGACACCCTGTACAGACGTACTGCCAAATCAAGAAATCAACTGCGAATGAAATCCAAGATCGATTTAAATATTTTATATCTTTTAATATTTTTTTTTTGTGTTCGTGATAATTCCTTTGCTACTTCGTCCAAAAACCGACAGTACGGAAGGAGCGTTTCGAGGAAGTAAACGGACGAAGGAGCGTTTTGACAAAGGAACGAAGGAACACACAGTCGCATAAAATCTACATTTCCCATAGTAAATATAAGATTTTTGGACGAAGTAACGCGAGGAAGTAAGGCGAGGAAGTAGCGAAGTGTGAGTATGGGGCTTTAAGGTCAGGGAGCAATAACTATACTGAATAATAGATTATTTATGTATTGTATAGATTTTTATATTTTACTAATGGTAATAAAATCAACAATAAAATATAAAATAACTTACTTAAAACAATTTGAAGTATTTTTATTATCTTCATCAACTATCCAATTTCTCTTCTATCTATAAAATACTTTACAGAAAGAAGCAGTAATTTGGCATAACCAATTTTATAGCAACTGTTAAAAATCATCCAATGCAAAACTGTATTAGAACATCGGATTAAAAAAGCTATTTTACTAAGAAGATACTATTTTATGACGTAATTTGCGGATGTAACCGAGGTCTGTAAAATTTTTAAGATTCAGTTTAAACTGGTCGTAAAGAGAGAAAAGTTGTAAAAATAATCATGGTCATATTTCTTTTATTGTAATAAATAGTTTTACGGCCTTTTTTCGATTAATTTTTATGTAATTAATATCTTGTAGCACTGTAAGTACCGAATTAATTGTTTTTTTGCCGCCAGAAATTTTAATATCACCTGAGATGACCTGCCTATTTAAAAGTAAACATATTTCTTCAAATCCAAAACATTCAATTTTAAAAGTCCATTTTACTAGTCCGAAAAAGTAGAAAAATAAACGTTCGGCATTTAAAACTGGCTAGGTATTTTTACACAAATGAAGAAGGAAATTAAAGATAAAGAATTATACTCTATCCGTATTGTAGCACATATTTAGACAACTTATTTATTTTTAAAGGTGCGTATTCACTTGCAACAAAACACTCCGAACAAACCAAACGCGCCGCGCACTCCAAACAATCTTGAACAAAACATTTTCCGAGAGCGCTCTGAACGACCTGCAACAAAACATTTTGCGCGGAGCGTTCCGCCTGTTTGTGGTGTTCGCTGCGTTTCACCAGTAATCAAATTCAAATTCAAATTTCTTTATTAGACCCCATTAAGTTTTACAGAATAATATTAGTATTAATAAATGTGTGTCTAAAGGGATCGCACCGCCAGAGTGGTGCGACCCCAAATACAAAATAGGAATAAATTAAAATTATAAAAATAAACAGAATTACTGACTGGATATTGATAATAACATTATTGTACGTCATTGTAAGTGTCTTGAAATTTGGTAGATATTTACTGTATGGTCTAAGACACTCGAACAAATATCTCTGAACTAACTACCAACAAAATTCAAATTTTTTTTTTCTTGATTTCAGTAAGGACAATCTTCAGATTGTAACAGAGATTTTAACAGGGCACTGTCTCCTCAATAAATACCTCCGTAGACCGAAGCTAAGGTGATCTACAATCTACAAGAAATACGAAAATTAAATTTGTTAAAAAAATAAAATCAAACAGTTAAAATCCATTAAAGGCAGAACAGTTCCGGTTGTTGCTCTGTTTAATTATAGAAATGTTATTGTTAGGAAAACATTTTTCTATTATCCTCGTTTAAAATCGATAACCCATTTTCCAACGCTGAACCGAACTCGAACCAAAGTTTTCCGTGTCAACGAGTTTGTTCGAATTCATCCAGAATTACTATTTAAAATCAATATAAGCTTGTATCAGTTTGAATTAATTATTACACAAAAAGGAGATGAATTATTGATCATCAAATTAATTTCAGCCATTAATTATATTTTAATTATTACTACAAAGTATGTTATTAATCATACCATTACTTATTTTTATTCGTAGAACTTAGGGTGAGCCAAAAAAACTAATCTATGGAATTTATGGGTTAAAATTAACCTTATAACCGAGAAAAAAATATCCCCGGAAGGCAGAATTTTAAGCTCATTTTGAAAAGGTGTCGGTAAACATTCAAAGTTTTTCATTTAAATAACATTACAGTTGAGGGTTGGAACCTTTGGTGTTACACAGCAAAATAAAAACACTAAATCACCACAATACACCAAAACACCTTTACTTTTACACTGGACGCGCGTTTCGCTAACCATGTTAACATCAACAGCAGATGATTATAAACTAAAGTACAATCTACAAGTTGAGCGTTTATATACTGGCTCAGTGGGCACCGAGTGGGCGTGGCAAAATCTAGCCAACCGAGTCAGAGCCCACTGAGCGTAACAGTTAGATTTCCGCCACTAGAGTAGTAGGAACAAAGAACTTGAAGGAATTGGACCGTTGTCTCTGTTCATACTATCTTTACATTTATTAATTCTGATGCTTTCATATGCATCTAATTGCTTGTAATTTGAGACTTGTTTAATTAATTTTAAATTATTAAGATCTATACAATGTTCTTTATCAACAATATGTTCAGCAACGCAAGATTTATCCGGTCTACCATATCTTATCTGAGCTACATGTTCTTTAAATCTAGTTAATATTGATCTTCTAGTTTGCCCAACATATTTCTGATTACAATCTTTACAAGAAATTTCATAAATACCCGACCTTTCCAGTAGAGGTGTTTTATCCTTTGGATTAGCTAATAACACAGGCCGACATGATTTTTGTAACACGAGTCAGTTGCAGAATTTCTTCATAAAAATATGCTTCTAATAACAGAAAAAATACTCCTGAAGCTCCTACACGTACCACTTTCCAGTTGCCTAATTACGCCTCTTTTTTGCAGGTAGTCAATTTTATAGATGTCAGGTATTAAGTCTAGGTAGATTCGTTTACATACAGGTAAATTTAAAAGAGGAAAAAAATGCCATTTGCGGTTCCAATGGTATGGCGAGAACCAACTAACCATTTTGACGATTGCTATTTTTGCCTGACGAAAACTGAAGGTTTTTCCAAAAAACAAAAGCACAAGATCGAGTATCCCAATTTGCCGTCTGCCATACGACCTGTTCTTCATGGTGCAGATCTCCCAGTGCCGATCGCGCCCTTAGACTGGCAAGGTATTGTTTTGGAAGATAAGGAAGATATTGAATCAAACAGCTCTGGAGACCAGTGTACTGATCCTACCTTTACCCCAGAGGGCGGTTCCGACAAGCCACATTTGATTGTTCAAAGCGAGTTGAATGACTTAGTGCGTGACTTGGGGTTATCAAAGCAGCAGTCAGAACTTCTTGGATCCCGGCTTAAGGAATGGAATCTGTTAGCCAATGAAACAAAAATCACCACTTTTAGAAAAAGAAATGCTCCGTTCTCTGCATTCTACAGTATGGAGGATTCGTTGTGTGCATGTACTGATATCGATGGCTTAATGCAGGAACTTTCTATAGAACATTCTCCCTGTGAGTGGCGCTTATTCATAGATTCGTCGAAATATAGCCTAAAAGCTGTGTTATTGCATAACGGAAATTTAAAACCCTCTATACCAGTTGCCCATTCAGTGACAATGAAGGAAACTTATGAAAATATGCGCATGCTTTTAGATAGAATCAACTACAACAGGTATAAATGGCAGATATGTGGGGACTTGAAAGTTATAGGAATTTTAGTGGGACTTCAGGGAGGATTTACAAAATATTGCTGTTTTCTTTGTTTGTGGGACAGTCGTGCAGTAAATCATCATTATGTACAGAAAATTTGGCCAGAAAGAAGTGAATTTCAACCGGGTTCCCAAAATGTCAAGTATATCCCTCTTGTAGACCCCAAAGACGTCCTCCTGCCTCCTCTTCATATCAAACTTGGCCTCATGAAAAACTTCGTGAAAGCTATGAATAAAGAAGGTGATGGATTTAAATACCTAAGGCAAGTCTTTCCCCAGTTGAGTGATGCCAAATTGAAAGAGGGTATTTTTATTGGACCACAAATCAGGAAATTGTTGGACGACACAAATTTCACAGACACGCTTACCAGGCAGGAACTCAGAGCATGGACCTCATTTGTTAGTGTAGTGAGGGGATTTTTGGGAAACAATAAGGATGCGAACTACGAACAATTGGTTAATGAGCTTTTAGATGCTTATAAATCGCTTGGTGCCCGAATGTCTTTAAAAATTCACTTTCTCCATTCTCATTTGTCATTTTTCCCTGAAAATATGGGTGCTGTCAGTGATGAGCAAGGTGAGAGATTCCATCAAGACATAAGGACAATGGAAATTCGTTATCAAGGACGATGGGATCCAGCCATGATGGGTGATTACTGTTGGTTTTTGAAGAGAGAAGACGCGGTCCCTCATAAAAGGAAAAAGTAAAAGTTTTTGTTTATGTTTTGATCTCGTTTCGATTGTTTTTGTACTTTTTAGGTATAAGTAATGTTTGAGGAGTGTAAACTATAAAATATAATCGGTATATAGGCTTAAGAAGTTCTTAAATCATGTTTTGAATAGCTATCTTAATATATTGAATATTGTAATATTGAATGATGTTTTATTAATGTAACAAAAAAACCTTACGTGTTACGACTTTTTTTTTGCCACTTTCGTGATTAGATAGGTTCATTCTACCACAATATCCTATTGAGCTTTGTGTTACATCGAAAAAATTTTTTTTTGTCGGCCTGTGTAATTGTTGTAATTTATTATTAGCACTATACACAAGTTTATAATTGACATTCTTAAAAATTCCTTTTAGACCACGGGATAACTCTCTATCAAACGGTATCGAAAAATATTTAGACGTATCTTTCTCCACTTGAAAAGTGGAATTTTCAGAAATCATTAACCTATACCTACGTTTTCTAATTAATTTATCAACTACTGAAGGAGAATATCCATTACACTCAGCTACATTCCTAATGTAATCTCTTTCTATTTCATATCTTTCGTTGGAAAGTGGGAAACTAAGTAAACTATGAACTAAGAAATTTAAACTAGCCATTTTATATCCAACACTATGATGTGATTCATTAGGAATATATCTGCGTGTGGTCGTATTTTTTCTATAGATATCAAATTCCAGGCAATTATTAGTATTTCTAATAACTAATACATTTAGAAATGGTAGTTGTTCTCAATTTCATGCGTAAATTTAATGGAAGGAAAACGATTATTTAACTTAGAAATAAAATTATCTATGGTGTCTGAATATGTGTCAAAAACAGCAAAAATATCATCCACATACCTAAACCATACTCTTGGAAAATACTCAAACTGATTCTTAGCCTCCACTTCAAACCTGCTCATGAATAAATTAGCCAAAAATGGAGACAATGGATTACCCATTGCTGTACCTTCCCGCTGTTCAAAAAAGTTGTTCTTTTTCCATAAAAAGTACCATAACTGTGAAACTGTTTACGATAAAAAAAATACATCGCGGATTCTTGTAGAGCACAACATTTTTTTCAGTTCAATAATTTGTTCAATATTTGAAAGCTTTGAAATGTGTAATAATCAAAATGAGCCGTTTGAGTGTTTATTTATTAAAAATTTGTTATATAGTATATAATGTTTATTTATTAAAAGGAGACATTTGTTACGTCAAAAATCACGAAATTGTTTATTTTTTCATTCAGTAGCTTTATTATACCGGTACGGACGAAAAGTTATTAATATTTAAAACAGTTAGAACATACAGTGTGACCCACTCAAGACCGGGCACCCTCCATAAAATCTGTGTTTATAGTCCGATTTTGATGATTTTTTTTTCAAATATAAAGTTTCAAAAAATGTACTTTAGGGCTCAATGTCATGTTATTTCACAAAAAACAAGGCCTACTTAATAAAGTTTTTGTGGTGAAAAATTTGCAAAATCATATTAGCGATTTTTTTTCAAAAAATTTTAGTACACCCCTACATTCGGCATCCCCCAAAACAGTTCTGTACCAAATTTCGTTTAAAATTATTAATTATTAATAATTCTGCAGTTAAATTAAATAATTCCCTATTTTTGCCAATTTAACGATGAGTTATCAAGTAACACTTGAAAAAAACAATCCACGACAAAGAGTTTTATTACAAACAATGATAAAAATACTACAAGCAACACAATAACCGAATAATAAGTTAAACATATTCAAATAATTCTCGTTGCTTCTACCAGCCCTCCATTCAGTTCAATACATTTGTCGCATCTTTTTCTTAGATTAACAGTTACATTCCTAAGCTGCTGTGGTGTAATATTTGCAGAAGCCTCTGTAATTCGAATACGTAATTCTTCTATAGATTGAGGTCTAGACTTGTAAACTTGTTGCTTTAAGAAACCCCAAAGAAAGAAATCAAGGGGTGTTAGGTCCGGGG